TTGGTAAAAATTAGTTCCAAAGAGAGTTATCGGCAAAGAAATCTATTCTTGATTACTCATCTAACTTCTACTGATACGGTAATATATATTGATTATATTATTATATTTGGCATAGTTGGTACTTTAATTTATCGAATTTAGAATTAAAAATATTCACTCATGATGAGTACAAATCTAATATGTTTAAATTAAAAGATTCTTAAGTTTAGTTTTAAATGTTTCATTTTATTTCTTGAGAGATAAATAGATATTAATAAGTTCATTTTAGTGTATATTAAGGTGAACACAATCTAATACTATAATTATGACAAATAAAAAACAAAGTAACTAAATGCTAATTTGTGTGATCTAAGTGTATAATGATAAAAATAAAATAAAATAAATCTAAGATTAAAAAAAAAAAAAGTGACAATCCAACTAAGCTAAAAGATATCAAATTTAATAATTACAAGGATTGTCTTAAGATTGTACACAACTACAAATATGAAAACATGACACATATAGCGTGGGAAAGTGAATAATGTCTCCTACCATGAGAGACGTTTCTATATCTTTAAAGTCTTCAAAAAGTTGACGATCCCGATTAATATAAATGGTTGTATCGGGTGCTGAAGTAGCACGCAATATTTGATTTGGTGTACTTTAATAGAAGGGAATTAGATTAATATTCACAAAGTATTATATTTAAACCTTTTTACCATTATATTGTAATTTTTTACTGAAAAAAATCGTTTATATTTTTAAAATAATAATTACAAAAATTAATGAATTCATCGTACATTAAAGAATTGCAATATTCCCGGTTGCAAATTATTGGGATAAGAATTGGGATCCTATAATAGCAGCTACATGAGATAAGGACCAAGTTATCAAAAACAATTATGTGCCTCAGTACACGGATTACCAATTTCAAAAAATTAAAGTGCATCAAATCAAATTAACAAAATTTAATTGGTAACTAATTCATTAATTTCTTTTAGTAGTGTAAGATAATTGGACAACTCCTCTATGATGGGTTAAATAAAACAAAACATCAAAGTCTAATTTTGGAAGTTTGAGCATCTTGATCATCATGCTTGACACAAAAGAGGATATGATATAGAATAAGCCTTTTTTGTAGAAGTTAATTTGTCACGTACAAGAATGAAAATTTTAATGTGCTCTAACCTCTAGTTAACCTGAGATCGAAGAACAAAAACATTTTTTACAGTCACTACATATAGAGACAACGTTCAAAGTACACTTAATGCATCCAAAATTCATATAATTTAGAAAAAACACATAGACTGAAGGTTTCCAACGTCTCTCGAGAATGAAAATTAAAGCATGACCTCCAGTTATTGAGGTATAAATATTTTGATAAAGGCAACCCAAATGATAGAATCCTATTCTTAATTTAGGAATAAGGCTCTTGATTTAAACTGTGATTGACTTGTAACTTTTTTCAATCAGCCAACAAATATTTATATAAATATATAAAGGTAAAAGGGGTATCAAAACCTATATACATAAAATAATTAGAAGTTGTATAATTGTTTGACTTGTATAATTGTTTTGAAACAATAAAAGTCAAATAAGTCTTTCCAATCTAAGAAAAAGAAATTGAAATACATTTCAACGCCTAAATTTTCATAAATTTGCTTACAAAGTATACAATTGGTTTTGAGACATTTATGGAAAACTTGTTTCGGGTGCTTAAAGTTGTAATAATCAATATCCGTCGCCTAGCTATAATCGATTATCTACATTGTTTTCATAGTTTGCGTGACTTTGCCCTTAAGTAAAAAAGAATTGATTATCACGGATGATAATCAATTATTGACATCAATAATTAATTATTAGCATGATAACATAAAAGGATATGTAACCTTTTTTCCCAAATCAATTATTGCCTCATGATAAATCATTACCGAATTTTGCAATTAACACGATTATTTTTTTACATTCGAAGAAATCCATAATGAAAATTTTAGGGATGTCTCACTCTATCACTCCAATATATATCCTGGGGATATTAGCTCTGAAAAAATAAATAAATAAAAGATGCCTCAACCTAGAAAAACAACAGAGATACCACATTTCTCATAAAAGATAAAAGTAAAAGCAAGAATCACTCTAAATAATAAAAATAATCACAAATTGAATTACAACTATATATGATTCTTAATTCAATGGGGAAGTCTCAAGAGAAAGTATGATAGCTTTCAATTAAATTATTTTGTATATTTTAGAGGTTCTAGAAACATCTTTTATATATATATATATATATAGGAAGGTTCAAACGATACCGGTGTAACTTTTACTAAGTGTTACACCGCTCAAGTTGTTCAATTTTAACAAAATTTGACATATATGATTTAAGAGATATGAACTTTCAATCTAACGGTTGGATTTTCAAAATTTATATTTAATATAAAGTTATTGAGCGGTGTAACACTTAGTAAAAGTTACACCAGTGTCGTTTGAACCTTCCTATATATATATATATATATAAAAGATGTTTCTAGAACCTCTAAAATATACAAAATAATTTAATTGAAAGCTATCATACTTTCTCTTGAGACTTCCCCATTGAATTAAGAATCATATATAGTTGTAATTCAATTTGTGATTATTTTTATTATTTAGAGTGATTCTTGCTTTTACTTTTATCTTTTATGAGAAATGTGGTATCTCTGTTGTTTTTCTAGGTTGAGGCATCTTTTATTTATTTATTTTTTCAGAGCTAATATCCCCAGGATATATATTGGAGTGATAGAGTGAGACATCCCTAAAATTTTCATTATGGATTTCTTCGAATGTAAAAAAATTAAACTATTGTAATACTTTGATTATTCAGAGAGGAAGAAAATTTCAAGTATGTTAAGGATTGGATGTAAGTTCCAAAGGTTAGTGATTGAACTAATTAATATAAATAACTGGTGTACTTTTCTCTAACCGTTTATCTTTTACATTCATGCATTTCGTTATATTGTTTTTCTTTATTAAATTTTCTGATTGAGTTATAACGTTCATCATTAATTGAATCGTTTTGTGAAAAGCTTTTAAATTACTCAATTAACCATCTCATGAGTTTGATTGGTAATTTGGGTGAAAAACAAGGTCAAATATAAATGAGATCAGTAAAGACTCAAATGTTGCTGATTTTTTGAAACTGTATATTTATTCCTATTCCATCTATATCCATTACATTAAGTGATTTTTTTTAATATTTTTTTTTTATAGGAAGGTGTGTAGAACAACCATCTTTGCTATGTTTACGTTGATTACAAAGATGATAGTTGTAGGGGGTGCGAGGAGATTGAAAAGCATTTGATTATAAGAATACTTAAATTTGAATTTGAATAATCTTGATTAAAACAATACTTAAGTTAAGTTTAGAGAAACTTGTAAAAGAATACATGAAACGTGAAAGTTATGAATAAATCCTTATATCATATGATCATCTTAATGAAGATATTAAATGTATGTCTAAGATTAAATTTAACTATGAAAATTGTAGAGAAAAGTCCGATATAAATCTTGTATTATCTCTTTTTTCTCGTGTGTCCAAATTTAACTATGAATATTGTAAATAGAAGCCCAATATAAATCTTGTGTTATATTTCTTTATTCTTTTTTCTTTTTGAATGGAGAATATAATACTATTAGTTAATTTGTTTTTTTTTTTTCTTTTCTAAAGGAAAATATAATACTATTGAATATGTAGATCAATTAATGCACTATTATTTTAATTTAATTATTACTTTTGAGCTTATATCCTAGGGATTGTACCTGGCAAATATTGAACAAAACTTTCTCACTAAATAGATGGTCCCGCAAATGGAATCAAAGCTAACTTTAAATAATTGAAGTTAAAAATTTATTTTGTTTCTCTCTCGGTGCAATTAAAATTTTCAAAATTTTTGGTCCTACTCCTAAATTGTTTCAGAATCAAAGGTGGAGTGTGAGTGGTTGTATTCATGGTCCATTTGCGTGCCGTGGCTGGCAACGGTGGCATTGAAAACCGTTATGGCGAGTAAGTTTTACTTAAAAACATTGGTTAGTAGGCAACACACAAACACTGCCTTAATTTGGCAGCCTGTGTGCATTCATGTGATGCCGCCCAATCGGAGCAAATACAAGCCCACGTGTACCCATCAATTAATTAACCTTCCAATCCAACCACACCACACATTGGAAATCAAATGTAACATATCCCACTACGTGTTCGCACATGACATTAGGAGACATAATACAACCACATGATCATTCAAACCAGCCCACCCACCATGATCAATTTCCATAAATTCATCTAACTTTCCACTCCTACGTACATCTTCATCTCCTCAATCACCAACTTGTTGGTAAAACTAGAATTCACTTCATTTTCTTTAAATAAGATATTGCATTTGAGTTTTATACATAAAAAATGTCATCACGGATAAAAATGCTATTCAAAGTGATCCGTTATATATTTTTATTAATAAAGATTAATCTATCAATAAAGTTGATACATATTCTGCATAAGTAACATGATTATATATGTAAAAAAGTAATACTATATGTATAATAAAAGTTAGAGTAATTGTATTACAAGTACAACAAAAATTATACAACTTATACAATACTATTTTTGTATTTATTTCTCTCCATCAATTCATTTATTATAAAAAATATATTATTAATGATAGAGTTCGTAGACATAAAAGTATTATTGTATAATTTTGTTAGAATAAAACAAGATTAGTATAGGCAAAAATCACTCCCTCTAATATTTAACACAAATATATATATGTAAGACGTATGATTAAGTTGAAACAATCTAATGTCAATTATTTTTTGTTAGATACAATCTTTTTCAAATTGAGTAAAATCATTATGAGTAAATAAATTCTACGTATATTTAAAATTCAAACTCAAAACTCCATATGAAGTTAAAAGATCCTCTCATGAGTTTATCCACACACACTCTAGATGGTTCCACACTCGTCTATATAAACACCACACCCACATCAGTTGTACTCATGACCAACACAATACACACTAGTACGTACTCAATTGTCTCTTGAGAAGTAGCATCTATTCTATAAACTAAATAGCAATGGGTGGGTTGATGAAGTTGGCATGCGTGGCTGTGTTGTGCATGGCGTTGGTTGGTGCACCAGCGAAGGTTGAAGGGGTGTCATGCGCCCAAGTGATACAGAACCTGACCCCGTGCCTAAATTACCTGATGCAGGGTGGATCGCCTACGCAGAACTGCTGCAGCGGAGTGAAGAGCATTCTCGGCGCTGCCGGCACCACCGCCGACAAACAAACCGTGTGCAACTGTCTCAAGGATGCTGCTAACAGGTTTCCCATCAATGACAACAACGCTCAGGCACTCCCTGGCCTCTGCGGTGTCAGCGTCCCTTACAAGATCAGCCGCTCCACCAACTGCGCAGCGTAAGCTCTTCTCTCCTCACACCACAGTAACACACATTCTATAGTGATACAATACGTGTTATTAAAAATTACTTTTATCTACATAATAAATATAATATATGTTAGTATATTATTAAATATAATATATATATATATAAAGTATTTTGAAAAGAGTGAAAGATAGTTGAGTTTGTTAGACATAATATTAGGGTTTTGATCCTTACACATATGTAAGGATAATACTTTGTTTAAAAAGATAAATTTACTTTGCTGACTAATAATTAAGGAATTAGCGTTGATATATCTTAGTACAAACCAAAAAAACTGTCGACATAATAACAATCTATAATTAGTTAATGGTTAAAAAAATATTTATATTATTTATGTTTTCTAACTAAATTCTTGATACAGAGCGATGACATTTAGTGAAGTTGTTAGGAAGGAATGACTTGAATTTGCACGGGAGAGAAGAGGATAGTGTGTTTAAAAGAGCATGTTATGTATTGGCTTTCTTCTTTCTCGTAAAACATCATTGGATCATTGGTTCCATTTGTCCATCCTCATCTAGTGGGGGAAAATAATTAATTGTTGTCATTCATGTGTTTTGCTTCCTAGTATAATATAGCCGTATAACTCGTCGAATAAGAGCTTGATATGCCAAAATTATACTAATGTGTTTATTTACACGATGGACTAGCAATTAAGAAACATGTTTTTCACCTGATGTAGCCTTAAAATTTGAGCAATAGAAATTGAAACACTTTACCAAACCCGCTATTAATTGTTATGATTTGATAATGGTGGATAATAAATTAAAGTTGACGCGTTTGTGTTTTGTAATGTTGCAGCATTAGGTTCTGAAGGAGCTATTAGGTTTGCTAGTTTCTGCCGCGGGATACTGAGGCAGCAGTGTAACACTTACTGTTATCAGAAATAAGAGAAAGCGAGTGTGTTGTTGTATCAGTTTGTTTCAGACACTTGGTGTGTTTGTTTGGGTGTGATTAAATGTATCTTAGTTGATTGTTGCATGCAACAATCACTCAGTATTTGATATGATAATTCCATGTTACTGTAATTGTTGCGTACCTTGTTCTCAAATCATTTTAATTTATAGCTCTATTCTACTCTGGTTTCTTCACTTCCAGATTTTGCTTCTTCTCTCAAAACTGGTTAAATTCGTTCTATGGAAATGTAATTAAGCTTCAATTAATTACCATGCCTGGAAAATGCCATATTACCTGATAAAAGAAAAGTCATTAATTATCATATACCAAATGAAGGGATCATGCTAATAGCTTTGATACTATGGTTGTAACGTTATAAGTGGAGTGTTAGTGCTTTTTATTACGTATGAGAGACTAATTTAACCTCTGATTGCTATCAATTTTGCTACATGCATATCAGAGGTTAAAAAAAATAAATTTGAATTAGATTTCCATCATAAAACATATATCGCTTTACTCTGTTGCATGTATGTAGAATAGAAGTTGTGAAATAAATCTTCTAAATGCGCCTCTAATATAGGAAACTATAATTATAAAGATGATCAGGATGCATGAGTGCTCTTTTCTTTAAATGAACCACTCGTAATAAAAGAGGAATACTAGTCTGATACACTTTGTTAGAACATTTTTTCTAATTAATTAAAAAATTATAATATATATATATATATATATATATATATATATATTATAATTTTTTAATTAATTAGAAAAAATGTTCTAACAAAGTGTATCAGACTAGTATTCCTCTTTTATTACGAGTGGTTCATTTAAAGAAAAGAGCACTCATGCATCCTGATCATCTTTATAATTATAGTTTCCTATATTAGAGGCGCATTTAGAAGATTTATTTCACAACTTCTATTCTACATACATGCAACAGAGTAAAGCGATATATGTTTTATGATGGAAATCTAATTCAAATTTATTTTTTTTAACCTCTGATATGCATGTAGCAAAATTGATAGCAATCAGAGGTTAAATTAGTCTCTCATACGTAATAAAAAGCACTAACACTCCACTTATAACGTTACAACCATAGTATCAAAGCTATTAGCATGATCCCTTCATTTGGTATATGATAATTAATGACTTTTCTTTTATCAGGTAATATGGCATTTTCCAGGCATGGTAATTAATTGAAGCTTAATTACATTTCCATAGAACGAATTTAACCAGTTTTGAGAGAAGAAGCAAAATCTGGAAGTGAAGAAACCAGAGTAGAATAGAGCTATAAATTAAAATGATTTGAGAACAAGGTACGCAACAATTATTTAATATATATATATATATATTAAATTTGTAAATTTTTTAAAAATTTAAAAATTATTTAATATTTTATTTTATTAATATAAATCAAAGTATAAAATGATTTTATGAGATTTTATGATACTTCGTTGCAGACTTGACTAATGAATTTCTCATCGAATTACAATAATTTGAAACACATATTTGAGAATGAATTGAACTGTGATATGAATAATTAATGTATTATGTATCCCTCGTGATTGCCAACAGTTCAGTTTCCTTTAATTTAGTGGAAGTTAATAGCATTCAATTATTCTTTTTATTTTTTAGAAAAAGAATTCAATATAATTCAATTTGATGCGTACTAATCAAGAGGGTAGCTCAATATTAATATTCAGCAGGTCAGGTCAACATCTTGGCCTCGAAAACAAAATATTTGTATAGTAATCCAGATAGATAAGGAAATAATCATTAATCAACCTAAAAAAAAAGGCTTTTAAGAATTTATCTTTTTACAAAAATAAAGAATTATTTTTCATAAAGTGATATTCATAAATATTTTTAGACTTGTATTCAACTAGGCTCTTAGTATATTTAGTGAAACTTTATTAAAAATTCTTTTTGGAAACAAAAATAAAAAAAATTGAAATAATTTTTTTCGTAAATTAAAATCAATTTATATATGAATTAAAAATAAGATTTTAAAAAAATCATATTATAAAAGAAATTCTATAAATTAGTTTATGTATAAACTAATTTTAATTTATAAAAAAACTTTTTTCTTCTTCTTATTTTTCTGTTTTAGAAGTTCTTCTAAAAAAAATTTTCCCAAATGCATCATAAGCCTTTATTAATAATATTATTTAATCTATAAAAAACGTCCAATTTTTAAAAAAAATTCCAAACACTTCCTAGATTTTATTTAAAGATTTGTCTATCATGTGCAACTTTGCACATATTAAAAAGCATTAAATATTCACTTTTGAAAAACATTTTCATCACCCAATTAATTGCAGAAATTTGAAAAAACACAATATTTTCTCTCATTTTATTTAATCTCTCTCTCTTCCGCTATTTTAAACTGTTCATTTTCTACCAAAAAAACAATAACATTCTACCAAAGAAAACTGTTCATTTTCTTTTAAACTACCACAATCCATTATTTAAAAAAAAAAACCATGAATTATAATGGTTTGAAAGTATATGTTTTTGTTCATTTTTGTTAAACTACCTACGCGAATCCATAAAATATTTATAAAATAATATTTGTATTTATAAAGACATTAACTATGAACCAAAAAAAATAAAAATAAAATAAAGACATTAACTATGAGACACTAATGATAAGAAAAGTATATTTTATGTTTGTTTTTTCGGTTCTTAAAGATTTTTTGCTTATGTTTTATGTCTTTATAAATAGATATCTTTTTTTTTATTCTTGTATTTTTAAATTTTTATAATACTTATTGACACTTATTATCATATAGTGAAAATTCAAAATAAATTGAAAAACATTATATTTTGGGGGACATAAGAACAAAATAATTACTTTTTACAGAAAAAATATTTTGTTTGTAAACAATAAATTCTAGTTGTTTAAACTTTAAAAAGAAAACAAACAATTTAAAAAAAAAAAAAAAAAAAA